CTTTTTTACCAAAAATTTTAATCTTTTTTTGGGATTAAATCAATAAGATATTCTCCTCGTGACCTCTAAAAAAAAAGGAAAAGTTTTCCTTCCCAACGGCTAGTTTAGTGAAGTTTTTTACTCGGAACCAAATTTATGGTAACTGAGTGCACGCCCCAACGGTCATATGAACGTTGAAACCACAATTCAAATTGTTTAAATTTCTCAACGTTCCTCTCCCCTCTCTTGAGATCTCACTGTTTGGTTTTCGGCGTCTTGCGGCAAACCATTACTACCGTGCCTCCAGCACCGGCTTGGCCTTTTTCTTCTTCCTCGGCTTCTTCATCTCTGCTATGGAAACTCCATTGTCCATTGGAAGGGTTACTAGATCTCAGACCAGTTCTTTACGTCTGAAGAAGACTAAGCAAGAAGAGGAATCATCAAGATCCATAAACAACGGGAACCACGAGAGATTTGCGCTTCAAGATATCTCGAACGACTCCCCAATCAATGGCGTTGCAATGGAGAAGACCCCCCTTTCTTCTGTTATAAAGAATTGTGCTCTGTCTAAGCAAACACCGGGATCTGGAGAAGCTCTGCTTCGTGGACAAGTTAAAATCCTCTTGGAGAAAGTTGAGGAGGAGGCGGAGCTCGTTAATAAGCTATCAAACAAGCACTCTGCACCTTTCGTGCCGTTTTTGGGCATTCTTCCAATTTCTCCGGCGTTGTTGGCAGCTCCAACCCCAGCCAACACCCCCCAATTTCTCAACAGTTTCAAAGCGAAAGAAGAAGCAGGGGACAATTCAGCTTATGGTGTTGCTATTGAAAATGTTTCGATCGTCCTTCCGAAGGTTAAACTTTTTCCTTTAGAAAGACATGTCTGTTGATTTCTTATAGTTACTTTTTTTGTCATTCTATAAACATAAATGAATACTATCCCCACTCTGAAACCAGAAGAGATTTTATCAGTGGTGGTATTTTAGTCTTTTTTTTTAATCGAAATCTCAACTCTTTCTTCGTTTTACATAAATGTTCGTTTTACTAGTTGTTTCTGTGCCCTTAATCTACGTTGCAAAGCATGTTAAAATATCCTTCTCATGTACTTTATATTAATCTGTAAAGCATGAGGAACATCTCGAGCCACAGGAGTGTGTGATCAATAGAGCGCTGTTGTTTGATTCACCAAGCAAATCTGAATCCTCAGACGTCCTCTCCAATATATCTTCTTCAGTGACATACCAAGGAAGCATTATCAGTTCTTCTTTTGACGACAATTCCTCGAACTGGTCTATCCAGGCCAATGCTAGCGCCTATGAAGACGATGAAGAAGATTACATTGAAGAATTTGATGAAGAAGAAGAGGAAGAAGAGGAAGATTACTACTTTGTGGAGAACGAAGAAGAGAAAGAGT